GGGCTTTCAAAGAGTTTGTGCACCAGGCTTTCTTTCCATGCCTCCCCTACCCCGTGAGATCAGGCCCGGGCGAGCTGCCAGAGGACCAGGGATGCGTGGAGCAGAGCAGAGCCACCATCTCAGCCGGGGCCACCCTAAGTCAGCTGACACCAGCCCCCCGACCTCCAGGCAGGCCAGGGAGCCCGCCAAGACCCCAGAGCAGCGGAACCTCACAGCACAGAGAAACAAGCACTCGTCATTGTGTGGTTATTCTCACTGTGCCCATAGATGGCAGGCCGGGTTCCTCACTCACCAGGTACCACCGCCTGCTCTGAGACACACCGCACCCCCCTCAAGCCTCTGAGGCTCAAAAGGCCAAGGGCTTGTTCAGGGTCACACGGGAAGAGGGTGCAAATCCAGAAGCTCTCCCGGCTCCTGCGTCCACCATCTGCTGGCCTGGCCAACAGGTGAGTCAGTCCCAGCCTGCCCGGGGGGCCACAGTCGGTGGGGGGGACACAGGGAGGCAGAGCACCCCGGCTGACAGGAGGATCTCGGGATGCAAGGAGTGGCGTTGTGCCAAGCCCTGAAGAAGATCGACTTCTGGGGCTGAGAGTGAGGAAGTGGGGAGGGCCTTCTTGGTGGCAGGACCAGCAGGAACGAGGAAGGACTCTCTTAGTCCACTCTGGCCAAATGGCCATCGCCACCACCTCCCACCCACTGCCCGTGACACCCCACGAGGCCAAGAATATGGACACATTTCTCCCCTTGCAGAGCCAGACTGCCACCCCACCCCCCATCAGATCCATCAGACACTGGCTGGGAAAAGGCGGTCATATACACACACCGCTGCTCCTCGAACCCTTTGGTGCCAGGCACGCCACACCCACAATCTCCCAGGCCCTAAGCAGAGGGTACCAGCTTCACAGATGAGCAACTGCAGCCCAGAGAGGTTCAGGAACATGCCCGCAGGATGTTCATCAAATCTGTGAGATTCCAAAGGTCAAAGGTCCCCTCAATGGAAAGGCCTGGTCCTTTTAGGACGATGGCCTCAGCTGACCGGCATTCCCACCCGCTTCAGCCTGCGGCCCCTGGAAATGCCATTTGTAGAGAAGCCTTTGCCCGGAACGGCGCTACCAAGGCTCTGACCCTGTGGCCAGGCTGTGGGGGCTGCCGCGGGGCTGGTTTGAGCTGGTCCTGCACCGACATGGGGGTGGGTGCTGTGGGTTCCCCCTCCCGCCATTCCCCCTCCGGCTTGTCAGCAGCCATCTTTCCCCTGACGCTGTGAATCCCAAAAGCAAAGCAAACCGGCCGTATTACAATGTGAGGCTTGGACCTCTGCCCACCTGGACATCGTCTCCTGAGGTCCCTGGGCTCCTCCACCTCAGTGTATCCCCATAAACTCAGCAGCCTCCGCCACAGACCGTCTCCTCCCCGGGGCTCCACTGGGCCAGTGAGCAGCCAGGTCATCACACCCCCTCCAGGCCTCCCCATGCTCTCTTCCCCCGCAGATGGGGCCCTTCTGCCCCCCGAGCACCCTGGCTAAACACCTGTTAACTGGAGAGTATGGGTTTTGGAGTCAGACATCAGCTCTGTGTCCTCAGGCAACTCACCTCTCTGAGCCTCAGTTTCTCATCTGTGAAATGGGGCAGTAAATGTCTGTACCCCGTTAACTATGTGGCTCAAGAGAGGCAGCCGCTATTGTTATCATGCTCCTTGGTAGTTCGACATGTATGTGTCTCCAGCAGCTCCCCCGCCCCATCTGGGAGGATCCGCACAGTTCACGTGAGTCGGGACCCCTCTCTGAGATAGATGGGCACAGCACCCAGATCTGCCCAAGGCAGCTGATCCCCCATAGGCCTCTCCAAGGTTTCTGCCTTGAGTGATTGTGCTCTCTCCTCTCTGGGTGGCCAGGACCCCAAAGCCAGGGCTCCTGGGGCCACCTTGCCCACGTGCAGAGAGAGAGAGCCGCCTGAGAACCAAGCTGGGCAGAGGCCGGAGAGGCAGGGCCTTGGCAGCATCCTTTGAGCACCTGGATACAGCCGTGCCTGATGGCATGGCTCCTCCTGGACTTTGCACTGACTACGGCCAGTAAATTCCTTCTTAGTTAAAGTTACTTTGGATGGAGTTTCTGCCATGTGCAAACCTGAACCAAACGCAATTACTGGGCTCAGGGAGGTGCCTGGGGACCACAAGGCTTCACTGAGATGGGTCACTGGAAAGAGGAAGCCTGAAGCTTGGAGACCTAGCAGGACCTTTTGTGGGCAAGGAGTGGGCACCTGGACACAAGCTCCTGAAGTGCCCGAGAGCCGAGTTACACTTGCTCACAGTGCCCAGCATTTGGTGGGGGCTCATGCCAGCCGTCACTACTAGTTCACTGCACTTCCGTGCCCTGGACTCTACTCCGGGGGCGGTGGGTGCGTGACTGAACTTTTTCTTACAATAACCTCCCTGTCAGGTGGTTGCTGTGCTCATTTCTCAGATGGAGGCACAGAGAGTTTGTGTAACTTGCCCGAGATCACACAGCTTGGCCGCCATGGAGTGAGTGGGAAGGCGGTGCCGTGCTCCTGCTGGGACACACAGAGCCATCGCCTTCCCTGTCCCTCGTGTCCCCCACCTGCTCCAGAAGGTCCTGTGGAAGACCAGGGGCCTTTGTGGAGGAGCCACGAGGAAGGCTGGAGCGCATCCTCCTTGAGCACGCCTACCCTCCCAGCGCGCTGGCCGGAGACCTGGCTGACTCCCTGTGGGAGCCTCGCATGGGCCAGGGTTGGGGAACGGGTCCGTGGCAAAAGGACAGAAGGCTCAGGAGGACACTTCCACCCTAAAACAGCCCAGGGCAGCCCTTTGAGGGTCGCGCTGCAACCTGAGCTCCCCTGCTGGTCACGAGCCTCCTCTCATTTAGCTCGCACACACGGCCTGGGGGCTGCCCCCTGATGATCCCGAGATTCAGATGGAAACTGAGGAAGGCACAGCCACACGCACAGCCATGCATGAGGCTCAGCGGGACGGTCATTTTTATCTTTCGGACACTGGCAATCAACCAATCATGTTTCGCCACATGGACAACATCTGTCATGGGTCTGTGGCTCATGGGGGGACACAGCGGCTGCACTGTGTCCCCAGAGGGAAGTGGGTCCTTCCTCGATTTCACTTTTTCTTCTCACTGTGGTACCTCCTGCTGGTCCATGGTGTCCTCCAGGGACCCAAAGGCACTGGAGAAGGAGACTGGGTAGAAAGAAATAGACACACCACGTGCGCACCTGGCATTGCCCTGCGTGGCGTAGTGAACATACGTTCGTGACACCAGGTTCACCTCTCGGTTGAGGAACTTGAGGCTCAGAGAATCAAGGGACTCAGAGTGCCTGTCTGCTGGCTGGTTGTATCCCACCTTTTTCCAGAGAGGGTAAGAGAGGGACAGGACGGACTGGCCTGACGGTGGCCCTGCAGCCAGCCTCGGGGTTCAGAGCAGGGTCTGTCCTTCACACACGTGGCTCAGCACCCCAACACCCAGGCAGCCCAGGCAGCTTCCCATGCGGGACCTCGGGCAGGCATCGGCCCACCTCGAGAAGCTAATGGAGGGGGTTGGGGTGAGGGGCCTGCCTGGGCACCAGGGAGCCCTGTGGGCACTCCTGTGTCTGCCTTCAGGGAAAGAACATGTCAGAGCCCATCCTGGGTCTGATGAGTGGGGACAGCCCATGTAGTGAGGACCTCAGAGCTAAGGCAGGAATGGGGCAGTGAATGATGGCGCTGGGAGCAAGTAATGAGGCCAGGAGGCCAGGCGCCTTCCATCCTCAAGTAGGGGTCTCACAGGCCCACAGCAGCTGGCAGGGGCAGGACAGGGCCTAGAGGACTTCCTAGGACCTCCTGGAGTTTAGAGGCAGCACGGGGAAGGCACTGGGAAGCACAACGCAGACGAGGCCAGAGGAAGGGACAGGACTCGGCCGTGTCACACAGCAGGTTCCCAGGGCATCGCCCCCTAGGCCTGCTCTTCCCCTTGGCCAAGAGCCCAGGCCCCGAACGCTGCCCAGACACTCCACTCCATCCAGGCCCTGAAGCCCCAACAAGCTCTTCTGGCCTGGCTCCCAGGCTGCCCAACCACTGGGAGCCCCACTGTCGGCCCCATTCCTGCCTCACACTCCTGGAGGGTGCCTGGCTGGGGCTGGAGACCAGACCACTGAGCGCGGAGCACCTCCCCCGCCCCCTGCAGGTGTCCCCCTGTGCAGTCTGGCCACACTGGAGTCAGGAGAGGTGGGAGGGTGTTTGGAAAGAAATCATTCTTGAAGCCCGTGAGAAGGGTGAGCGCAGGCATGGGACGGCCAGGCACCACGGAGGGACCTGCTTATCCAGAAGGGACACAGGTTGGCCCAGAGGGGACTCCCTGGCTGCCAACACGTCCTACCTTGCTCGCCGCTGCTGGTGTGCAAATGGGCTGAACGAAATATCTGGAAATTCTCCTGAAACAAGTTTTCAGTAAGTCCACACTGCACTCATTGATGCATTTTACAAAAGTTTATTGAGCTTTTCCTGGGTGCCAGGTGCAGGGTCATCACTGCAGAGGACCCAGCGGCCAGCCTGGGAGAAGCTGGGCCGGGGCAGCAGGCACAAAACCCGGTGGTGAAACCCACCCCTGCTGAGGCTGCCGATGTGGAGGAAGGCTGAAGGCAGGAGGGCACCGGGGAGGGGGGCACAGAGGAAGGCTCAGGTCCCTCTGGGAGACCAGGCAGGCTGGACCCAGGTGGAGGTGAAGGTAGTGGAGGAGGAGGAATGAGAGTTGCCAGGGGAGGGAGAAGGGCTGAGGGAACAGCATGTGTGGGGGCTCAGAGGCAGGACAGTGCCTGGGAATTCCCGGAGCA